TCTGTAATTGCATATCATCTGCATAACCACGAAAATTGACTCCACTCTTCTTAATAACTTCTTAATAATTTGACCCAGTTGCATCATATGCAATTAATAATCAAAGCAGACCAAGTACAGAGCCATGTGGTACACCGCAAAAAATACCAGGCTTATGTTCCACTATACCAACAAAATACTGTCTGGACTGAAGAAAGAGTGTTACCTGAAATCAAACTCAGCCTTATTCTTCTTCTTGGGCACTTGCAGTGCAGTCTGCTGAGTGCTGTTACCTGAATTTAAGAACAACCTTAACTACTGGTAAAGTCAGATGCTTCAGCCTGTCCAATGACCTTTGGAGCCATTTATGAAGCAATTTGCTAGAAGTATCATGAGACAAATTGCACAGTTTCTATATTATTCCTGAATCTCATAAAAGATTATGTACGTTAGTAACTTTGTAAACAAGGGAATATAAGTCAGCAGTTGTAACAAGAATGATCTAACGTCTGGAGGACCAAGTTCAACAAGCACGTTCAGCTGAAATTCAAAGTCACTTACAGAAAGCTGACACTATGAAATGTCAAGGCACCCAGAGCATGCAATACAATTCACTGATAATATTCAATAAGAAATTTTTCAGCATCAATTATGACTTTTTCCAAGAGCATCTGCACAGCAACATGTAAACTGGCAGGACGGATTATTCATTTAACTTGATGAAAAGTGCTATTAAACTGTGTACAACACTACATGCTGTAATACCTTTGATCAAAACAACTTACTCCTTCACATTTTCACATTTTCTGTCTGGTTTTATTTTTTATTTTAAAGAAAAAATATCAGACTTGTATTGGTTTCACAGGTATTATTTAATAGCTGAATTTAACATCTTGGGGAAAACAAAACAAAACAAAAACCTAAAAACAAAACAAAACAACATCTGTTTCTCTGTGTTTGCAACTTTAGTAAAACAATAAGCAGTGCTGCCTTGTGTGACCCCACATTCTGTATAGTATAACTAGTAACACATATTTAGTTTTATGCAGAGTAAAAGTTTGATGAATTTGTATTTTTGAGTGAATATTTAATATATACTGAATAAGTATTATTGCTCATACTGAATGAGTATGCATACATAATACTTAATTAATAATTAAACATAATAATTGTAACCATAATTGACGTGTTAAGTACAAGAGGCTTCATTAAGCATGACAAATTTATTTTTGACCACACAGTAGAACAAAATTATAAGTATAATAGAAATGATTTATTCATTTAGTGATTCACTTATTGATTCATTTATTTCCTAAATGATAGATACAGTATGTTTTTTTATGAATGTGTTAATAAAAACATACTGCTTTCAATGCATACGAGGGAAAATTCATTACTTGCTTTAGGAAATCACTGAGATTCTTCACATTTTTTTCTAAACAGGGTTATATTACAGTAAGCAAAAAGAAGATTAAAGACAGAATGGAAACTGTATTTACATTGGCATAGTTGAATAAAGAGAGTGTGCCACATGGAACTGACGCATCGTGATCCTCAAACACTGTTGTCTCTTCTTTCAAATGAAAATCCTGCATTTGCAAGAGAGGGCCATAAAAAACAGGCCAATTCCAAAATCCAAAATTGTTATGTAACAGTCTTGACTCATTAATATTTACACCCCAAGATTTACATATACTAGCACACTTTTGAGCTTAACAGGAAACAAGGACAATGGAACAACAGCAGTAAAAATGGTAAACTATTTGCAGAAACTGTACCGTTACAGGCTGTAAGGGATTTCGGCAAGGAGCCGAACTGTCAGCAGGCATGGATGATGATCATCTTTAAGGCTCAAGTTGGCTTCCTATTCGCCAGCTTCCTAATTCAATGTTCTGTTCCACCGTAAATACTACAGCTTGTACAGGCACCTGAATGTGACTGTGGTATCATTTAAGGAGGAACTGAAAAATTCTCAAAACACATTTGCGAAAAGGAAGTCAACTTCAGCTCCCACATCTTTAACAGGATCCTGGACAATTTTGATTTATTGGCTCTGCTCATTTCACTCTGGACAGTTTCTCAAACCTTGGACATGATCAAGCAGCTTCACTCAGCATTTCACACTGAAGAGACAGGGAAGCAGTTCCATTTTTATTAGCATCCCAACCCCGACAGTAATGTGTAAACAGCCATACTGTGCGATTTTATCCACTTTTTGATGCCTGAATCCAGATCATCTTAAATTGAAAGTTTCATAGTGAGCTAACAACTGTAATGTACTTTGTGTTCTTATGGAGATCGAAAGCAAGTTGCCAGTATAGGTGACATCAGCTACTAGCAAGCTCCAAATAACTAGCATAGCTAACTGAATAGTATGATGGCCTGACTTATTTACACAGAGGTTCATTTCCTGCTCATGTCTGTTTCCACATGCTGCTTCTGTGTCAACCATCATGGTGAACCATCAACCAGCCTTACTGTAAACCAGCCAATCGGAGCAGAGCTCATTAGATTACTCATGACCCCCTCACACTGAAAAAAGTTGGTGCTAAAACAGTCTTCAGCATGAATCTGGAGAAACATCTGTCTTGTTGCTGTCAGGATTCATAGACGTTGCAATGGGAACGGCCAAATGAGAAAGGCCAAAGCCACCTGTAGGTCCTGAGGAGGCTGAGGTCTTTTGATATGTGCACGAAGCCCCTGTGGACATTCTACCAGTCTGTTGTAGGAGTCAGGCTGGCTCTGCTGTAGGAGTCATGCTAGACTCTTTGGAGGTTGTGGCAGAACAAAAGCCTCTCAACAAGCTATCAGCCATCCTAGACAATACCTCACACCCCCTCCATGCTACACTGGATAAACAGAGGAGCACTTTCAGTGGCCGACTGTTACAGCTGCACTGTGTTAAATAGCGCTGTGAGATCTTTCATATCCACTGCTATAAGACTCTACAACCAGCCTCCTTACTGCAGAGATGGTACTGACCTCCTGCAGTCTGAACTGTGCTGAACCACATCACAATATCTTCTCTCCTGTTAATACACACTGTGCAATATAAAGAATAACCTGCTACTGTAACGACTCTCACTGCGAACTTTACACTGTAAACACTGCTCATATTCCTGGTTATGTTTATGCTCATTGTGTTATAACTACCTCATACCACTTAGAACAGATCTATCTTATATGCTATGCAAATATGCAACTAGATACACTTTTATTTCTATTCTCTCAGACTTTAACTTATGTATATATATATTTTTTTATTTCTGCCTAATTTATGTCCATTTTTATTCTTTTTTTATTTCTGCCTTTCAAATGTAAGTTTATGTGCAATTATGATACTGTAACTGCGATTTCCTTTCAGGATCAATAAAGGTCTGTCTATCTATCTATCTATCTATCTATCTATCTATCTACCCACTCATCCCATCCATCCACCCACCCTACCCACCTACCTACCCACCCACCTACCTACCCACCCACCTACCTACCTACCTAAGCTACCTACTTACCTACCTACCTTTGTGTGGTTTGAACCTGTTTATCTTTTAATGCTGTATTTTACCATGTCAGTTTGGGCCCCACTCTCTCCAGCTTTAGTAGTTTTAATGAGCTGCTACTTTAGTATTTCTACTTGTGTTGCAGTCAATACAAGTAATAATAATAATAACCAATTAGAGCAAGAAATACACTGACCATCATAACACATTTCCACAGTTGTACTGTAAACCGCAATCAGCAAATATTGAGAAACGCTGCTGCAAAATCAGGCATTTCAGCTCACAATGATCCCCATAAAAGTCCAGACAAGTGACTGGTTGACTTAAATAAAGAAGAAGTAAAGAATGGAAGTTCAAACAGCAGACAAATGAAAACATGCAATGAGCTAATTCATAATGCAAAATTGTGAAACTGCCTTCTGCCTTCTATAATGCTGCTGAAATAAGTGTAAACATTTCCATTTCCATTTTTGTAGTATGAAGTGGATGAAGTAGAGGCTACATTAAAATGTGTCTTTCCTTTTTAAAGCAATCTCAGCAAATCATGTAACATTAATGTCATAAAACCTATTGGTCTGTCAGACTTGCTGAGCATGAAAGATAAAGATTTGAGCACAGCGCCCTCATGCTGCCCCTGAAAATACTGCAGTTATGGCATTTACAGTCAACTCATACAGTACAATACATCTACAACAAATGAGCACACTTCATAGAAATAACCATGTGCAAGTAATGTAAATAAAGCATCTAATAGACACATTCCTAATAAGGTAATGACGGAAAGCATTCAGAAGCTCCTGCGATGTATTATCAAAATGTCTTATCATTGTTTTCTCTTATCAGATCAATGAAAAAATATCGTTGCTGTGCCAGACATCTCTATTTTGTCAGAATTTTATTTTTATTCACTTAAACACAGCAACTGTCCTTTACATTGTATCAAATTTTCATGGTTGAATAGACCAACAAAAATGCTCTGAAATTACTTGAAATTAGATCTTTTAACATTTACCTGCATTAACTTTAAGAATGTTTTTAACCTTCTCCTGTAAAGTTGCTGTTTTGGAGATACCTGTGATGATATGACAATTTAAAAGAAATCAATGTATTTCAGATAAGACCTCTTATATGTATGTACATATGTATGCATTCTGTATATATATTGGTTTTAATACAGAATGGTGAAAAACAAAGTAAAATAATATACAAGCAAATTACTGTTGAAATGCAGTGTTAAAAATATAGAATAAAAGTCATTTTAATGATGCTGTTGGGTCTCAACAGAGCACAGAAAAGTTGTACTTTTTTTAAAATGAATGTAAAAAATGCATACTGTTTTTCATTGCAGGTGACATGCAGACAGGTGCCACTTATGATTATTAGTATGATTATTAGTATGTTCATAAATGCATAAGTAACAGAATGTTGATCATAAATGAAAAACATCATTGCATTATTTATTATTTCTTTTTGATTAAAGCCTTCCTTTATATATATATATATATATATATATATATATGCATTCATTTTCAGTGAGCATTCTCTGTGTATGCTGGAGGGCTTTCTTCAGGTGGGAATTCCATGTTGGAGCACAACTGCAGAGAGAAGAAAGTAGAAACTGTGACAATATGCTTTGTGTAGAATGGATATTGTTAATTATGCCATTTTGCCATTAATTATGCCAGCTCTCGTGTTGATAATATGGAATGAAAAAACATGATTATAGTAATAATTTTTCATCATTCACATTTCATTCGAAATGTTGTGGAGATGAGAATGTTGTGTTGAATTGTGAATGGAATTGTGGGCTGATTATTTTGTTACACCCCTAGACAAAAGTAGGTGTATTTTTTTCCTGCTTATCATGTGAATTTGTATAAAATATAATGAGAAAAGTTGATGTGAGTGAACATGGTTAAAAAAAACAAAAAAACAAAAAAAAACAGAAAATAAAGTCATATGCAAAAGTTTGGGCATCATTGCTCAAATGATACGTTGATTTTCAAAGTGAGAATAAGTTAACACTGTAACAAGTTAATAATGTAATGCTGTAACACTTAACACTGTTAACACTGCAACAAGTTAATACTGTAACATTGTTAACACTGTAACACTTAACACTACAACACTGTAATAAGTTAAAACTGTTACACTGTTAACACTGTAATGTTAACACTGTAACACTGTTAACATTACAACACTGTAATAAGTTAAAACTGTAGTGCTGTTAACACTATTAACACTGTAACTAATTAAAACTAACATGGTAACCCTGTGTACACTTAAAACTGTAGTAAGTTAACACTGTAAAACTGGTAACACTATTAACACTGTAACATGTTAAAACTGTAACACTGTAACACTGTTAACACTTAACATTGTTAATGCTGTAATGTTAACACTGTAACACAACACAGTCAACACTAACACTGTAACACTGTTAACACTGTTAACTCTGTTAACATTAACACAGTAACACTGTTAACACTGGTAACTCTGTTAACACTGGTAACACTGTTAACACTAACACTTAACACTGGTAACACTGCAACAAGTTAACACAGTAACAATTAACACTGGTAACACTGTAACAAGTTAACACTGTAACATGGTAACACTGTTTTCTTTAACTCTCTACAGAAAACTATTTGCTGGGAAATATAAAACATAAAACATGTTTTTTGTAATAGTTACATAACATTATATATTTTACATTTTTAAACATGTTTTCTAATATGTTAAACCCAGCAAATACATGGAAGTCATGCATTTCCAGAACAGTGTCATATTTAACCCTTTAAAATCCTAGGCTTATTACATACCAAGGCTTATTATTCAGTAACTACAGGGAATTCAATGCAAACTGGCTGAGCTATTCTTAGGTTGTGGGCCAGCCGGTGGACCTTGGCCATGTAAGGGGCTAAGTGTGTTCTGTGTAGAGGGTGTGTTAACTTATTTTGCCTCAAAAAGTCAACAAAGGATCACCTGGCCAGGGGTCTTATGAGTTTTGTAATGAGACAGTGAGGGACGGTGGTGTATTTCCATTGAGGGGTGGCATAAGTACATTTCTCTTACTTGTAAGTTCTCGAGACTTGGAACAGGGATGGGAATCGTAAATGTATTCCCGACTGCAGCTAGCTCCTGCAAGGAGAAATATACAACAGTTTGGGATCACTTGTCATATCAATGATTGTGATTTTAAATGGTTGGTTCTTCAGATAAACATGTGCGTAAATGAGACGTGTGAGTGTGAAGAAACTGCTTTAAAGTTTAAAGACTCTCTATATGATGTAAAAGAATTGAAAAAGAACCCTTAAATTGATAAAGAACCTTTTTGAAACCAGACTCATGTATGACTCATGTATGTTTTAGGGAGCCAAAAGTGGTTCTTCTATAGCATTACTCAAAGAACCCTTTGTGGTATCTTTTTATTAGAGCGTAAAACCATACAACCAAGCCAAGAACTAACCAGAAACCTTCTTTATTAAGAGTTTGAGGTGTTTTGTTTTTCTTGTGTAGGAAAAAAGTGAGGATGGTGGAGAAGTTTAAACTCTTGGAAGTCAAATGACACACAAAATATTCTGGATGCTACAATAGAAATCTTCATATTTTCAAAATAAAAGACAACTCACTGGAATTTCATTGTGGCAAACAGCTTTGCATCCAAACGCTGAGATGCAGATGGAGATGATGAGCTGAAGCAGAGAGAAAACCAGCAGCACTCCACTGATTCCATTAGTCCGGCTGTGAAACTAGCAAGCAAATGTTAACAACAGGCCATCTTAACATATGATGATGTAACTCATAGTATTCCATTCATATCATGTATTAGGGGTGGGAATCTCTAGACACCTCACTATTCAATTCGATTACGATTCAGAGGGCTGCGATGCGATTACAAAACAATTATCAATACATCTTGAGGCATCTTTTTTCTATACAGGATTTCTGTTTTCTATTTTGGTACTTTTAAAGCAAAGTATTTGTAATGATCCATAGTGTATTTACTTCCAATATCTTTTATTAATAAAACAAATGAAGGTGATGTGGTAAGTGAACTAGAAGGCTCTCATTCACTGCTCTTGTTCGGAGCACATGAGACGCTGCTGCCTTGTTGTAGAGAGTGAGTAAATAAAAATAAAATATCTTCGAGACTGGACGCTGTATCTTGGCTCAAAAGTGTGCAACACAGCGAGAAAGCCCTGGTTCTCATGACTGAGACCTGCCGTGTAGACTGCAGGTGACATAGCAATGCAGTCTCCCCAGGCTAGTAGCTAATGAAACGGCAAAGAGAGATTTAAGACAAACATTTGGAGATGAATGGACTTGTTTGCATTTATAAGCAGTGCAGTTGGTTTCCTGGAATGTTAAATCTGCAACAAGAGACTGTCAAACACTTAAAAGTTGCAAAGATGAAGTCAGCTTCTCATTCGAACTTCCCTGTTTCACCTTAAATGGTTCTGCATTTACATTCAGCACCTCAGGCAGAATTTAAGGTGGAACGGGAAAATTCGAACAAGAAGCTGGAGAATGAGAAGCGACTTCAGTCTCGTAAAACAGTCGAACGTTGAGAGATATTTTACAAGAAACTGATCTACTCTTGAGGAAAGTTTTCTGGCAGGGATGGAAGGAAAGCAGCTATAGCTAAAGCTTAAAGCAGAGCAAAGTAAATTTGTGTTTTCATTTATATTTTTAGCCTATATTAGGACATCAGCACATATGAGACACACTGAACATAAAATGTTGTGGCTCCCAAGGTGGTTTGATTTTTGTGGAAAGGACAAAATGGCTCTTCTTAACATTTGGGTTGTCGACTCCTGACCTAACCTGGCTTCTAATGCAGAGGGGGCTGGTCAGATTTCTCGCTCATACAGTTGTGTTTCTGTTATGTATAATCACTAATCTCATGCATTGGTTCTGAACTCTGGAGATTTACAGGCTATTTGCCTCCAGTCCACCAATTTAACTAGTCTTCTCCTCATAGTGATTTCTGGAGGCATTATTTTTTTGTGGTCATTCTGGTCGATTTTGCTTGGTCTGCAGCATTGTAGCTGTAGTAGCGGTGATGAGCCGAGCTCATAGTCAGAGGTACAGATTGCCTACCAAAATGGCGATGGGCTGTTCTTAATGATGTCATCTAATACTAAAAAAAAGTCACACCTCTCCTTCATAACTGTAACAGACAGTCCAGCAAGTAGCCGAAGAAGAGAGTTGGACAGTTTCATCATTAACAAGGTCAATTTATAAGCAAGCAAAGGCAAAGTTGAATCTCACAACTACAAAATAATAAGATACGCACCAATGAAATGTCAATGAAACAATCAATATGCCGTCCAACAAGACCACATCGGTTCAGTGGCCCAAAAGCCATGTCCAAGGACATGAGAATGATGGCTGTTACTGCAGCTATAGCACTGAACACATTCATTACCAGAGAGCCTTTCACCTACAGGAGAGGGGAAAAAAAGAGTTATTGCAGTTGTTTTGCTATATTATTCATATGTAATTATGTAATTATATATTTAATTACATAGTTAATTACACAATGAGTTGCATAGCTATACAGAGAACTGTTTGCCAAAAATAAGCAAATAAGAAAAAAAAATAAGCTTTCATAATTGCCAGCAATAACACGGCTGACTGTTAAGGGTCAAACTGCCAGGTAATTGCCAGATATTATATCTTTATATATCTTTATTGTTATATATTTAAGCTTTTTAAACAATAAATAGTATGAATTATTCATTAACTACAGTGAAATGGATGTAAATGTATAGCTATTAGAGTGAGGAAGCATTGAACCACACATTTAGGGGTTAAAGCAGGGGTTAAATTAGATGAGAGCCCACATTTTTGGATTACGTGAATGGCATTAGCTGAGTTCTGCTAAGTGTCAAGTGATCTACATGTTACTAATTCCAAAAAAGTTTGGACGCTGTGTAAAATGTAAATAAACGTAAATAAAAACAGAATGCAATGATTTGCAAATTGCATAGACCAATATTTTATTCACTATAGAACATAGAACACATATCAAATATTTAAAGTAAGACATTTTACCATTTCATGAAAAATATTAACGCTTAGAAAATGATGGCAGCGATGCATCTCAAAAAAGTTGGGACAGGGGCAACAAAAGGCTGGAAAAGTAAGTGGTACTAATTAAAAAACACATGGCTGGGTATAAAAAGAGCATTTTAGAGTGGCAGAATCTCTCAGAAGCAAAGATGGCCAGAGGTTTACAAAACTGCGAAAAACTGCATCTAAAAATTGTGGAACAATTTCAGTTAAATGTTCCTCAATGTAAAATTGAGAATCTACAGTACATATCATATCATCATCAAAAGATTCTGAGAATCTGGAGAAATCTCTGTACTCAAGGGAAAAGGCCGACAGTCAGTATTGGATGCTCATGATCTTCGGGCCCTCAGGCAGCACTGCATTGAAAACAGGCATGATTCTGTACTGGAAATCACTGCATGGGCTCAGGAACACTTCCAGAAATCATTGTTTGTGGACACAGTTCAGTGTGCAATCCACAAATGCAAGTTAAAGTTGTATCATGCAAAGAAGAAACCATATATAAACAGGATCCAGAAACGCCGCCAACTTCTCTGGGCCAAAGCTCATTTACAATGGACCGAGGTGAAGTGGAAAAGTGTCCTGTGGTCAGATGAATCAAAATTTGAAATTCTTTTTGGAAATAATGGACACTGCATTCTCCAGAGTAAAGACCTCCCAGTTTGTTATCAGCGCACAGTTCAAATGCCAGCATCCATGATGGTATGGGGGAGCATAAGTGCACATGGCGTTGGTGTCTTGAACATCTGTAAAGGCACCATTAATGCTGAATGAAATATACAGCTTTTGGCAACATATGCTTCCATCCAGACAGCGTCTCTCTCAGAGAAGGCCTTGCATATTTCAGCAAGACAATGCTAAACCACACACTGCATCCATCACAGCAGCATGGCTTCACAGAAGAAGAGTCCGGGTGCTGAACTGGCCGCCTGCAGTCCAGATCTTTCACCAATAGAAAACATTGGGCGCATCATGAAATGAAAAATCTGGCAAAGAAGACCCAGGACTGTTGAGCAGCTAGAATCCTACATCAGACAAGAATAGGACAACATTCCTCTCCCAAAACTGCAGCAATTGGTCTCCTCACTTCCCAGATGTTTACAGACTGTTGTTAAAAGAAGAGGGGATGCTACACAATGGTAGACACGGCCCTGTCCCAACTTTTCTGAGATGTGTTGCTGCCATCATTCTCTAAGAGTTAATGTTTTTCATGAAATGGTAAAATGTCTCACTTTCAACATCTGATTTGTGTTCTATGTTCTATAGTGAATAAAATTTGGGTCTATGAGATGCAAATCATTACATTCTGTTTTTATTTACTTTTATTTACATTTTACACAGCGTGCCAACTTTTTTGGAATTGGGGTTGTACATCTCTCTCACTGTAACAGGATTACTTTAGCCCAGGGTTTCGGCAGCATGCGGCTCTTTTACTGTTCTGTTGCGGCTCCACGGCAGAATTAGATTATTAGTTAAAATTAAATGATCATTCTTTGCAGTGAAATAAAGCTCTGCTGATTGTTCAACACTGTGTTAACAATAAATGGTCTAAAACACTTTAGTTAATGTATGACTGCTAATTCACCCTTTAACCATTAAGGTTGGTGCACAGACTGCTGGTCACCATAGCAACACAGACAACAATCTCACCTAGCTAGTAGCAAACAAAACAGCAAAGAGAGAGATTTAAGATAATTGATAATTTGGAGACAAATTGACGTATTTGTGCTTATAATCACTCCAGCTGGTTTCCTGATACGTTTAATCTTCTGCGAGAAACTGTCAAACACTAAAATGTTGTGAAACAAATCAAGAAATTGGCAAATGAGAAGCTGACCTTCAACCTTGTAAAAAGTCAAATGTTGAGAGACATTTTACAAGAAACTGCTCTACTTTTGTGGAAAAGTTTCCTGCCAGAGATGCGAGAAAAGTGGCTATAGCTGAGGCAAAGCTTAAAGCAGAGCAAAGTAAGGCTGCGTTTTCATTTCTATTATATTTTTAGCCTGTACTAGCACATTAGCACATACTGAGACATAAAAACTTGAAATTTTGTGGCTTCCAAGGCGGTTCGATTTTTGTTGAAAGGATAAAATGGCTCTTCTTAAAATTTGTGTTACCGACCCCAGCTATACTCATTATTTACTTCCTTGGAAAAGTTTTACGACACATCTTTTTACATCAAAGTTACTCTCTAAACACACACAAATCTATACCGGGTGTACAAGGGGAAACTCAGCAGCCCTCTTCACCATTTAAAGGGCCTGTCACTATCAACAAAAGACAGCCAGTTATGATTGATTTAATTATCAATTTCTAATTCTGACAATTTAATTTTTGTTGTTTATTTATTCATTATTTATTTATTTAGATGGTTTAAATGCAGGAACACTGAGGTGTTGACAGATGTTATTTTCTCAATTTTTGACATTTTCAGATATAGTTTTTTTAGGTCATGTTTGGTTAAATTTACTGATTGTTCAAACTGTCTGTCAAATGTGTAATTGCATTTTTAAAATGCATATTTGAGATTAAGTCATTGTATACAATTACAGTTTTGCTGTTATGTACTGCTGATGTAGTTCAGTGTATTACTGTCAAAGTAATGCAACTAGTAACCATTAATTTACTGTAAGTTTATAGTGTAATATTTTACAGTGCAGGTAAGTGTGAGGTACTGACTCCAAAGTACTACATGATTATTTTGGGTAATGTGACGGTAAGTTCCAAGGCAGTCTAAAGTGTCCAACAGGTTCTAGATGTTAATGTCACATATTGTTGAGATGAATCGTTTAAACAAATATATATTTTTTAATTGTTTATTTGTTTTGGTTGCCTAATATTTTTACACTGCACTGACTGAATGATACTGACTGAATGAGAAAAGTTAATAATCCACTTCTTAAGTTCCAGTTTAACTGCTATGTATGAGAAAATTACTTGGAAACTTTGATAGCAATGAAAATTCTAAAATTTAACTTTAACTTTGAACACAAAATTTGTAATGAAACTTTCTAGTGAAACAGTTAAATCCTTTTACATACCAAAGATGGGCGAAGCTTGTTCTGCGCTGTAACTGTTAGACAGCCAGCACTGATGTACTGAGGAGAAAGAAAGCATGTTGAATGAAAGAAAGAATGTTTCAGGAATGATTTGCTACACTGTATTCACTGAAACATGAATATAATGACCAGCACTCACGATCAAAGCTCCCCAGTAAACAATACCAGTGTAGACAGTGATGGTGCTGATGTTGACCGTCAACACGATGCCAAACAAGAGCGTGATCACACCGATCATTATTTGGATGGTCTGTGGAGAAAAACAGACAGCAGCGTTTCATTCATCCAGACACAGGACAAAGAACTGCACCCACAAAGAAAGTTTAGAAGTTTTTCTTTTTTTTTTTTAATGTGGTTTATTTCATTTTATAAAAATATATCTGCCTCCTGCAGATCTGCTTCAGAGCGCTTCACACTGTGTTTTCTGTCCTGTATAAATTTGCATCTGGTAACAGCAGGAAGATGAGCTGTCTGATGTGTAACCCGAGGCTTTGTTGTCTTATTTTAGGTTTTGCTGCAGCAGACAAGCAGATATGGATGAGAACAGCAACTCTAGAGGAGGTAACCTTCACATTTTTAGCAAATATCATCTCTAAACTATGAGAAGCTCATAATTTATTTCTGTTTTCTGTTTATTAAGATTTGGTCCCATTTTACTTGAATTCTCCAGCCAAAAACACATTTTAGACTTTTTACTAACTTGGAGTTTAGACCAAAATTATTTTGATTTGAGTATTTATTGTTCTCATTTACATATACACAGTAAAGTAGCTGGTAAAAATGGCATTTTCAAAACATAAAAGATGAAACTGAATCTTTTGCCTCAACTGAAATTGTGAGTTCTTCTTGGGTTCTTGTGGCCTAGCGTGTTCTGTTCTCATCTGGACCTGCACTCTCTGACTCCTTTTCAAATGAAGTGGACTAAAATTGTTGTGCAAAACAATCATAACACTACCAAAACTTTTTTTTTTTGACAGTTCCAGTTAATTTTGAGCAGAACTCAAAAAATACAGTACATGACTACCAAACACAGCTTTGCTTGTATTTTTCATTAAAACACAAAAAAAGTTTAACTGCAGAAAACTGTGTTTCAGTAGTGACCATTCTTAATGTTTCACACTGATTTTCAGCCTTTGGACACATTTACTTCAAAACAATGGGATTTAACTGCTCATGTGGCCATAAGGGACAGGGATGCAGCCTCACTTCCTGCTCTAAAATGCAGGGGTGTGGCTAAAATAAGGCTCCTCCTATGGATCAAAACTCTGTGTTTCGGTAGTGACATGAAAATATGGGACAGCATTTTTTCAATAAAGTTTTTTTTTTTATTTGAAACTTAAATTGATGCTAAATCTAAATATTTTAACTTCACTTTGAAGGAACAGAGTGATTCAGAGTGGTTTGGTGTGAAATGGCTTGTTGTAGATATTTCTTTACAGTGGTGGTGATAGGAACCAGGGGTCGCCATGACTACAACACCAATACAAACATTTCATTTATTTTCATTTTTATTTGTAAATATGAGCACTTTGCAGCCCTACTACTTATCAAACCTACTGATATTAGCTAAGGTAACAGAATGACTGATCTTAACATTGTTGTGTAACATTTCTGTTATTTATTGACATCATAATAAATTAGGGTTAGATACCTACAGTAATCTAGATAGGTTAGCTTACTTGATGGTTGCCTGTTGTTAGTTTTGATATTGAGCTGTAAGTATGATCTTCCACATAGGTTAATCTAGCTTTAGAAATGCAGTATCAACTTATGAAGAGAGAACCACATTTGCTCTGTATTAAAGCTCAGCTGTTTTTACCATTAATATAAAAATTTTTCCTCTATTGTTACAACCTTGACATAGTAACAATAGCAGAATTCTTTTTGGTGCTACTTAGAACCTTATACAACATATTCTCCATCAATCTGGAGACCCATTTCATAATGCAAAGAACCTTTAAGCTTGCCAATGGTTCGTTGAGTGTTTATGCTTCTATATGCAGTAGTGCTTGAAAGTTTGTGAACCCTTTGACCTAAATTTGACCTAAAATGTCATAAGATTTTCACACAAGTCCTAATAGTAAATACAGAGAACCAAATTAAGCAAATTAGACAAAAATGTTAGACTTGGTCATTTTCTGGTAACTGTTGATTAGTCCTGCACATCGGCTTGATGGAATTTTAGTCCATTTGTCCGTACAAAACATCTTCAACTCTGTTATGTTATTAGGTTTCCTCCCATGAACTGCTTGCTTCAGGTCCTTCCACAACATTTCTATAGGATTAAGGTCAGGACTTTGACTTGGTCATTCCAAAATATTCACTTTCTTCTTCTTTAACCATTCTGTGGTAGAATGACTTATGTGCTTAGGGTGATTGTTTTGCTGCACAACCCACATTCTCTTAAGTTTCAGCTCACAGACAGATGTTCTGACATTTTCCTTTAGAATTTGCTGGTATAATTCAGAGTTCATTGTTCCATCAATGATGGCAAGCCTTCCTGGCCCAGATGCAGCAAAACAAGCCCAAATCGTGACACTATCACCACCGTGTTTCACAGAGGAGATAAAGGTTTTTATGCTGGAATGCAGTATTTTCTTTTCTCCAAAAATAATGTTTTTCATTTAAAAAAGAAAAAAAAATCTATTTTGGTCTTATTCATCCACATCCGTCCACAAAATTTTGTTCCAATAGCCTTTTGGCTCATGTGATCTGTAGCAAACTGCAGACGGGCAGCAAACATCTTTATGGAGAGCAGCGGCTTTCTCTTTGCAACCCTGCCATGCACACCATTGTTGTTCCATATCCTGCTGATGGTGGACTCATTACATTAACGTTAGCCAGGCAGGCCTTTAGTTGCTTAGACGTCACCTTGGGTTCCTTTGTGACCTCACAGACTGTTACACACCTTGCTCTTGGTGTGATCTTTTTTAGTCGACCACTCCTGGGGAGCGTAACAGTGGTCTTGAGATTTCTCCATTTGTACACAGTCTGTCCAACTGTGGATTGGTGGAGTCCAAACTCTATAGAGATGGTTTTCTAAACTTTTCCAGCCTAATGAGCATCAACAACTCTTCTTTTGAGGTCCTCAGAAATCTCCTTTGTTCATACCATGATACACTTCCACAAATGTAATCACAGACGGTGATTAGATCACTGTTCTTTAAATAAAACAGGGTGGTCACACACACCTGATTGCTATCCCACCAACTGCTGTCCCAATTTCACCTTCAAATTATCTGGTAATCCTAAAGGCTCACATATTCATCATTTTTCTCAATAAACAAATGACCAAGTCTAATATTTATGTCTCATTTGTTTCATTTGGTTCTCTTTACCTACTATTAGGACTTGAAGAACCATCCTTTTTAGAGTGTAACCTAAAATAAAATACTAAAAATGTGAGAACATCTGATTAAATTGAGCTGTGAAAAGGCTTTACAGGCGTTTGACTTTCAAGTTGATCTGACTCTCAGTGTGTTTCAGGGTGAGCACTGTGATCTCACATCAGAGAGATAGATCAGATTATTTGCGGTGCAAATGTTAAAAAAGAGCAGGTAGGAGATTTACCCCCAGAGCTTTCGGCTCTGCTTTCAGGAAGCCTCCAAGTGGACCTAGATCAGTGATTCTCGTGAAGGTGGGAGGTCCTGCTACAGCGGCGGCTCCATTTTGTTCATTTTCCGCTGGGATTGGAAATGAACTGGGATTGTGTGCTGGGATTATTTGGCTGATGATGGTGAACCCATTTACCAGGTGCTCAACTGGAACAGCTGTGGTGGACATTCTACAGACAAGGAAAACTTCCTGAGCTGGGAGAAATCACACTTCTCTAAGAGCATCAAAACAGTAAACCATGCACGTCTGGAAACAGTAAAAGCACAGAATAGAAAGAGAATGTGCACATAACCTGTACTTAATGGTAATTAAATAAATGAAAAATGATCTCTGACTTTTGCACAGTACTGTGTTTGACATAATGGCATGAATATCAACATGTATAAATACATTTGCATCATTCACATATACACACACTGTAAAGTAAGTGGAAAAAATGTCTTTAGCAAAACATAAAAAGTGAAACAGAGTCACTTACCTCAATTGAAATCTTGTGTTAATGGGTTCTTGTGGCGGGGCCTAGCGTGTTCTGTTCTCGTCTGGACGTGCACTCTCTCACTCCCTTTTCAATAGAGGAAGTGTTCTGCACCTCTTTTGGAAACACCCAGCGCTTTTATCAAATGTGTGCTTAAACAGTTGCTGTAAATGACGTGATTCACAATTTGCACTCATGCAAACGTATGTGGGTCATCAGCATTAAGCAAATGCAGGTCTCTCTCTCTCTCTTTAACTATCTCTCTCCCTCTTTTCTTCTCACATTATCTCAGTTATTATTAAGCATTTACGCCCACTAATCAAATACTCTCTCCAGCTGCCTCTTACAGCACCTGCTGGAATGATTCTGACAGTTTAGCTGTTGGTATTAACTGCTTTTTCTGATGCAGTGTTATAGTAGAAAAACATCCTCTAGAACAGCTATAAACCTTTAGAGACAGAGCTGTGTAGAGCTGCCTGAACCCATATCTTAGTAGAAGTTTTTTTTTACTATTAATTATTCCTCAAGTACACACTTAAAAACATGGTTCTTCAAGGATAAAGGAAATGTTTCTAACTACATGCTCAAATGGTTCTCTGCATGGTCAAATTGTTCTTCAGATTGATGAAAAATTTGTTGTTGATTCTGTAGATAATCTTTTTGAAAAATGGTTTTCTGTTGCACCAAAAAGGATTCTGCAATTATTAAAGTTGACATTGTTACAATAGAAGAGCATGTTTTGGTGCTATATATAGAATCTCTATTATAGAATTCTCTACAAAACCATACACAACACATTCTCCATCGATCTGAAGAGCAATTTGCCAATGCATTGAACCATTTAGGCAGGAAACGGCTCTGAATACAACCACAGCCACTTTACTAAAAAACCCTTGAAGAACCATCTTTTTAAATTGTGTAGAGCTTAATTTGAACAGTTAAAATGGAACAAGAAATAAAAAAGGAGATTACCTTCCTCACAAAATTAAAATCCATAAAAACGATTTGAGGTAACATCTGTAGGTAAATGTAACTAGTTACTGATCTCCTCTGGTCATATATTACTGTGCAAACATTTTAGGCACTTCCAAGCCTTTTTTTCATGGATTTAAAAAGCTATTTGTCAAGGCCCAAAAGCATCGTACAGTTATGGTCAGCTTAACTGGTGCAGAGAGTGTTTATTGTGATGCTCGCTTTACCATTTAAGAATCACCAAGATGTTTTCAAAGAACCCCGCCCACGTCAGTGTGGGTTTATTTACTTCAATAATATTAGAATGTACATACAAATTCAAATCATATTAATAATATAAGCACTGACTTCATGTGTGTCAATGCGTTTGTTTAACCATTTCCAAACCATCTCCTCATATAGGCCCAGTATTACTGCCTTTAGTACTGCTTTGTATTTCTGCTTTGGTCAATCAGTGCTTTGTTATGGCAAATCAGTGATGAAATTTAATAAATCTGTGAGTTACCTAAGGGGACATCCAGGAGAAATCTGGAAGCAAACTTTGTTCTTCAAACTAGCTCAAAAAACATCAACTACACTGTAAAATACGTAAACAAACAAACAAACAAAAAGCTAATAAATAAATAAACAAGGGTAACATCTGTGGAGAAGTATGTTTTCTCAATGATGGTAAATATAACGTTCATTTAATTGATAGTTAACTCTTTTACAGTTTTCACCAGTTCAGCTAGTAATTCTGACATATAGTAATTTACCATCATAATAACAATAACAATGATTAAAATAAGCACTAATGTTTACATTCTATTTCTGTTATAATGTCAGCAGAGTTAAAATGCAGTAGATGTATGGTTTATTTACATATTGTTGCTGTCCAAAGAAAAGCAAGTATCTCCAAAATAGTAACTTTACAGGAGAGGGCAAAAACTTTCTTTGCTTTCAATGTAAGTTAATCGCAATGGGTTTTCATTCTAAGCAATTTTGGAGCATTTCTATTGGTCCAATCATCATGACATTTTCACACAATGTAAAGGACAGCAGGTGAGCCCAAATGGTGCAGAAAAGTAAAAATCGCAAAAAATGGAGATACATGTTTTTCATTGGACAGTAAACGTATATTTAACGTTTCCTTAAAATAAATGGTACTGACCATTACATATTTACAGAACCTTTTTCCAGCGTACTTTTTTTCAACATAACATATTCTCGTACTTTTTAATGTATGTTTATGTATCTATTTTAATAATATATGGTGTGTTTAAAAGCATAAAAACACTTATTGCCAAGATAAATGTAGCTAGGTGTCTAAGACTTTTGCACAGTAGTGTATGTGATGTAATGTTTTGTACTGGTCAACATTTCTATACACAATCAAAGCTTCTAATATAGGAATATTCAACTGGACATCCATGTAGAAGCATTTTATATAAATCAGGTCACACTTATCAGACTGACACACAGAAACACAGTAATATGACAAAGTTTTGGTCAAATGACACTTTTTTGTTGAAGTGAAAATAAGTGAACACATCCTTTGCAGAGAACACACTTCTGCACATTGTAATGCACGATTACTATTTACTAATGTGTCTTATGCCAACGTTACAGCACTTCATATATTTTGTCTTTTTCCAGTATGTTAAACTTAGCAGAAAATGTTTAATCAACAAAATATGTAATTTTACCAGGACTGTCTAAATATTTGCATATGATTTTTTTAATGCTGCTGAAAATCTATAAGAATATAAAGTCACTGATTTCCATTCTTTGTCAGAGTGAAGTAGATAAAGCAGCAGCTGCAGTACATTAAGCCATTTAAATCTCATTGAATTATTCATGCATGAAATCTGTTAAGCTGTTTCTCAGACTCACTGAGAATAAAAGGTAAAGATTTCAACACAGTGCCCCTATATGCCCCCCTGCCCCACCCCCAATAAAATACTGCATTATGCCCACTGAGCTGAGTACAGTAATGAAGTACTTGTGCATAGCTCTAACATTGACCTAAACAGGTCATGGTAGATGTTTATGTCAGAAGTTTTCACTTCAGATTTTCTGCAGTAATATAACAGTGTCAAGGATAGTTATCATGTCATGACAACTTCTGTCACATGTTACTTTTTAAAATGTTGTCTAGTCAGCCATCATAATATCAAACATTATCACATCTGTTATGATAATTACTGATGATGGTAACATAACACTGTAAAATGAAGTGTTACCGAAGTGTTAAGCTCAAAGGAAAATTTCAGCAAAAAATCTAATTTGCAATGAAAAATTCAAATAAGAAGCTTGAAAATAAGAAGCTAACTTCAGCTTTGTGCTAGGCGGTGGGTCCCAGGGTGGGATTAGAGTGTTGGGTTACTGTTACGTCCAGCATCCAACTGATGCATTTCTTCAGATATTCAGTTTAAAACATAGGCGGTTGAGTCTTTGTTAGCAACATTAGCCTCCAGTTCAACACTAGAAAAGGGAAATTTTGACACCAAACATGTCTTGGCTGATTGACTGCATTTAGTTGAAAGTGAAAAATAATGTCAATGAAATTTTTGGCCAAGCTGTCTCTTTAATGATCAATCAATATTGACAATCATACAAAAATCATTTGTTTTAATACAGAATGGTTAAAAGCAGGAGAATTATTGTAATAAATACACAAAATGTATATCATTCCAAATTACAGGACATATTGATACATGCTACTTGTGAGTAATATAAAGGAGGGTAATTTTTTTATGAAGCTGTTCTTAAAGGCATCACCTAAAATGTTAATAATGAATAAAGTAATTTATTAATTCAATTTCTTTTAAATTGAACCTTTCCTTAAAAGTACATTCAATGAAATAAAATGAAATAAAAAATCAAGCCCATGACACTGAAATGGTCTTTTCATGTTTGCACTCATGTTCAGTTGGCATTCTGTGTGTACGCTGGAGGGTTTTCTTCAGGTGGGAGTTCCATGTTGGAGCACAACTACAGAGAGAAAATGTTTGTCAATCATGTGACTTTGTAGAAAACACATTCGAGGCTGAATGTCATGGATTTAGTACAAATGAGGGCTCCCTTACAGAAAAGTCACATATGCTTGAAACACAATTTCACAAGTGATCACACATTTTTCACCCCTTAAATAACCGAAAAATAGCTTGCATAGAAGTCCCTGTAGTTACTGGATAATATGCCTTAGTATGCAACATGCCTGGGATTTTAAGGGGTTAACATGTGAAGTGTGCAAAAACCTTGTCTTATTTACATGTGAAATTCATGTCACTTATCTGAATTGACTTGACTCAAATGTGTAAACATTTCCTCATGAATAACATAGATGGGTGAAAATAATTAAAGGAAAAACCAACATAAACTGTCTTAGTAAGGTGTTGGACCACCAGAACAACTTCAATGCACCTTGTCATAGATTCTACAGGTCTCTGGAACTGAATTGGAACAATGGAACACCGTTGTTCCTAAAGACTCCCTCAGTCTGTGTTTTGTCGATAGTGGTGGAGAATGCGGGTTAGCGCTTCAGCCTAAAATCCCCCATCAGTGTTCAACTGGGTTGAGATCTAGAGACTGTGACGGCCATAGTATGTGATTTAAATCATTTTCATACCCGTCTAACCATTTAGTGACCCCTCACGATCTGCAGATTGGGGCACTGAGACCACTTCCAGCAGGATAGAAATGTTTCATCATAGGATAAAGGTGATCAGTCAGAATAACTTTGTACTGACCCGCAGAGACCTATTTCTCTAAGGAGACATGTCCACATATCTGTTGACCAATGCTGATGTTTTTTTCAATGCTGAACTCTCAAATGGTCATTTGTCTTTGTAATAAGGGGTTTATATGCTCTCTGTGTATGTGTGACCTTGAGATGTGGGTATGTGTTTACAGAAATGTTTTGGGTGATTGTTGACTTCCAGTGTGTGGACTGTTCTTGCTGATACAGACTGATTATGTTCTACACTGATGTTCTCTGTCACCTTAGGAACAGCTGCTCTTCTGTTTTTCTTCATACTGAATGTTAGTGGCCACTAATGTCCCTCAACCACAGTTTCCAACCCAAATGACTGATGTCTTTCCCACCAATCTAAATGTAGAGGTCTTTTTAGCCACTGTTCCTATTAAAACACTGGGAGCCAGGTCTTTGTGACTGAAGCTCCTGCCATCTCTGTCTTAATAATAAACCAACTTTCAAAGCCACTTAGATCTTTTCCTCTTGCCTTCATGACCCAAAATATGCTGGTCAGCTCAGCATTTTTCTGCATGATAGAATGCTAATGGCTTAACTGTATCACACAGTACACCTGTCTGGAATCATCAGCACTTATGTTCCTCCACTCATGTATTCAAGTTTTCATTATTTTTGCTGTGTAAGAAGAAATATAGCTGCTAAACCCACTCGTTCACTGTTATTAAACATTTTTTTAATGAATTTCATCAATGAGACAATTAAGGGACGGCAGTTTATTTCTGCTGAGGACTGACATCAAGTGCAGTTCACTTACCTGTGAGTTCTCGATACTCAACACAGGGATGGGAACCGCATACGTATTCACTGCAGCTAGCTCCTGCAAAGAGAGATATACAATACTGCTGAGTAGTTTTATTAATCATAATTTATTATTATTATTATTATTATTATTATTATTATTATTATTATTCATATGTTCTGCAGTGTTGATCGAAATTTTAGAATTTATACAAAATATATAATACCAGAAGATGTTTTATGTTTTTATTCAATATTTCAAGTTTTGTTGAGCAATAAGGACTTTATGGAATGCTAAGTAAAACGCTGTAATTTATAGTAACTTCTGGGGTCTGAGTGCCTTTACTTGACTTTTGCATATCTTCTTAAATTCTTCTTTAAAGACTCTTCATATAATACTCATATGTTTCATATCAAAATGCTCTGTTATCTTCATCACTACTTTCCAAAACAGCAACTTCAGCAGCTGTAAACTCTAAAAAGTAGACGGAGGCACGAATCCACCAGTTCCGCATGGTGAGAGGCAGATGATGTGTATCTCAGCCCCTCTTCACAGCCTCATAACTCTGGTTATGAGTCACATACGATATTGTGATAGGATGGAATGGAAAGGGTGACTCTACAGATTCAGGAAATGTTTGAACTGTTTTTCTGCACTGGATTATCACAAAGATACAGAAACAAATATGGGACATGGAATTTGATGTGCAACTACATTCATTAATTTTATTCTACATGTTCTGCCACTTTCATCTACTTTCAACTACATAATACACAGCAATCACCTACAATTCTGTTCAACACCTCTAAAGTTCAGTCTTAGAAGTTGGTTGATCGTTTCTGAAGTAATCAAACACATTCAGTGATGTTGAGGTCTGGACTCTGGGGTGGTCAGTCCATTGTTCAGCTTCTTTGTTTGATGTGTCCGTCTCCTTTTCTCAGTGAGGTCTTCTTGAACAGCTACACATCTTTTCAGACCCATAGCACTGAGTCGTCTTCTCACAGTGGAAGGATGGACAGAAACGTGTGTCTTTCAAAGATGACAGCTTTAAGTGCTGTTTATCTGGTGAGGGTTTGGTGGTCAACCAAGTCTTGCAGGTGGCTGTTAGAAGTCTTATTTTCTCTGTTAATCGTTTTTTTAATTCATTTTTTGACAATCAATCAGATTTTTCTTTGATTTTCTCCTTTCTTTTGATGATCTTATTACTAATCTCCTCAGAAATATGCCTGAAAATGAATAATACAAAATACTCACTTGAATTTTGTCATTGCAAATGACTTTACATCCAAATGCTGAGATGCAGATGGAGATGATGAACTGAAGCAGAGAGAAAAACAGCAGCACTCCAGTGATCCCATTATTCCGGCTCTGAAACTAGCATACAATCATCAACAACGGTCATTATTAACACCTAACAATGTAAAATGAATAGGAAAAAAGTGACTTTTATAATTTCAACAGAGATTATATACAGTCCATCAAAGAGCAGATGAAAGCTGGAGAGTTTTATCGCTATAAAGTTGGAGAAAAAGAAAGCAAATACAAAGTTGGATCTAGAAAATAATCAGCTACGCACCAATCTGAGGGCAGTATGGCATTCAAAATAGTGGTCATATTCAGGATAGCATGGTCCATAGTTTATTGGTCCCAAAGCCAAGTCTAAAGACAGAAGAACGATGGCTATTCCTGCAGTTACAGCACTGATCACATTCATCCCTAGAGAGCCTTTTACCTGCAGAAGAGAGAAAAAAATGGTTTACTTTACACTTTACTGAATGGCAGCATTCATAAAGCTACATGGCACCTACATAAGCCTTTTATGACTGGTATAGACAGTATAAAGGAATCTGAGTCTACAGTGACCCATGTCCAGAAATGGTCCTGACCTCTTTGGGGCCCTAAGCAAAATTCTGCCGTGGGGTTCTCCTACTTGACCCTTGAGCCTTTTAAATCATGTGCAGTTGCCACATAGTCACTCCTGACACCCCAGTGCTCCCACTACACTATACTACTACAATGTTATGATAATGTGAAACTTCAGGTCTACATGAGTCAGACAGCAATCAGATTTCTACTTTGCAACCAGCCAGTAAACTCACAGAAGAAGACGTGCCTTAAGTGTGGTGTAAAACTTGCAGCTTTTTGTTTTAAATCATCTGATAGAATAATCAGATAACTGTAGAAACCTGATTATGATAAGATTATTGAGCGCATGTAAACACACTCACTGTCTCGTTTAGATGAGAAGTCACGCCAATGCACTGTCTGGACTGGACTGGACTCTACACAAGTTTACCTGATTGCTGTTCCTGTAATTTCACTTTCATGGTGTTTTTTTTTCTTTTTTCATGACCAGATGGATATCTCCTCTTCACCCTCTCATTCTTAATTTAAGGCCCTTGCATGATTTTCAGGGCACTACACAACAGGTGTAGTAAGCATATAGGGCTCTGGCTCTGACCATATCATATCAAACCACTCTAAATGACTCTGTATACAGCTCAGTGACTGAGTTCTGCAGAAATGTTTGTGTACTTCCTTTTTAGCTGAAAATTCATTTACATTTTAATGCTTCAAAAAACATGAGGTGGTTCATTAGCAACAGGTCAATAACATGATTGGGTATAAAATAAGCATCCTGGAGAGGCTGAGTCTTTCAGAAGTGAAGATGAGGAGGGGTTCACCCCTGCATGATCAAATAGTGCAACAATTCAAGAATAATGTTTCTCAACATAAAATAGCAAATAATTGTTGCTTTTCATCATCCACAGGACATAATAACATTAAAAAATTGAGAGAATCCAGAGAAATCTCTGTATGCAAGGGACAAGGCCAAGAACCAGTATTTCCTGGCCATGATCTTTGGGCCCTCAGATGGCACTGCATTAAAAACAGATATGATTCTGTAGTGGAAATCACTGCATGGGCTCAGGAATACTTCTGAAAAGCACTGTCTATGAAAACAGCTCATTGCTGCATCCACAACGCATAGATCTTAAACGCAAAGAAGAAATCATATACAAACAGGATCCAGAAATGCTGCCACCTTCTCTGGGCTTGAGCTCATTTAAAGTGGACTGAGGGAAAGTGGAAAAGTGTCCTGTGGTCCGACAAATCAAAATTTGAATTTCTTTTTGGAAATCATGGACACTGTGTCCTCCGGGCTAAAGACCACTCAGCTTGTTATCAGTGCACAGTTCAAAAGCCAGTATTCATTATGGTATAGGGGGCATTAGTGCACATGGCATGGGTGACGTGCACATCTGTGAAGGCAACAATAATGCTCACCGATATATACATGTTTTGGCAACATATGCTGCCATTCAGACAACATCTTTTTTAGGGAAGGCCTTGCATATTTCAGCAAGACAATATCAAACCACATTCTGCATGTATTACAACAGCATGGCTCTGTATTAAAAGAGTCCGGGTGCTAAACTGGCCTGCCTGCAGTCCAGACCTGTCACCCACTGAAAATATTTGGCACATTATAAAATGAAAAATATGACAAAGGAGACCCTGAACTGTTGAGCAGCTGAAATCCTTTCTTAAGTAAAAATGGGAAAACATTTCACTTTCAAAACTACAGCAGTGTCTCCTCAGTTCCCAAACACTTACAGAGTTTGTTAAAAGAAGAGGAGATGAAACACAGTGGTAAACATGCCCCCGTCCCAACTTTTTTGGAACATGTTGTTGGCATCAAATTCAAAATGGGCATATATTTTTCAAAAAACAATAAAATTTCTCAGTTTCAACACTTGATTTGTTGTCTTTGTACTATTTTTAATTAAATAAAAATTTTAAATTATTTGCACATCATAGAATTTTGTTTCTATTTACATTTTGCTCAGCGTCCCAACTTTTTTGGAAATAGGGTTGTATTTACAAAGCTTTATCATGTGCACAGATGCTTCCAAATAAAGATCGGGCATCAAAAACTGCTCAAGTCAAGATTTAAAATTTAAATTTGTAATGAAGACGATTTTTAAATAAGCTTTGTAACAAATAGTTAAAAAAGGTCTAGACCTTTTATACATACCACACATGGATGAAGTTTGTTCTCTGCTGCGACTGCTAGACAGCCTGCGCTGATGTACTAAGAAGAAAGAAAGATTTTGTGTATCTGCATGTAAATTTGAGCATAATAGTTTAACAACTGGGGAAAATTACTCAAACTATTATCAATAACAGTTACTGTCACATGTAACTACAAATAAAGAACTAATAAGAATTAAAATAGAAAATAACACATGACAATCCAGTACAAAAGTGTTGTTGTTGTTATTATTATTATTATTATTATTATTATTATTATTATTATGATGTCTGGTTTGACTGTAATTTTTTTTTTTTCAGAAATCCTAAAGATATGTCAACTAATGATTCTTGAACCCCATGGACCCCACATATCACAGTGGCAGATGAAGAGTATTTTTCAATATTAACTTACATTGTATGTTTTTAATATAAGCAAATGAACATGGACAACTTTGTAATAAACATAAGACCTGTGCAGTATAACCACATGCTTCACTTACATGTTATTGACTTATTAATACAGAATAGTCTGATTGTTTCAACATTACAAGTGAGCTCAAACTATTTTTTGTAGAGAAATTCCCATAAACACAGATGCAATGAGCCAAATGTGTAAAACACTGTACACTTCACTACAACATTAAGAAAATGACCAGCACTCACAATCAAAGCTCCCCAGTAAAAAATTCCACTGTAGGCAGAGTTGGTGCTGATGTTGATCGTCAACACGATGGCAAATAAGAACATCATCGTGCCAATAATTATTTGGACGGTCTGTGGAGAAAAACAGACAACAGCATTTCATTCAGGTGACTCCAGTTAGAGCATCCAGACACAAGACAAAGAACTGAGCCCTTAAAGAAAGTGTTTTTTTTTAAATGTGTTTTGTTTCTTTTTATACAAATATCTCTGCCTCCTGCAGACCTGCTTTAAAACGCTCTATGGCTTTGATGTCTTATTTTAGGTTTTGCTGCAGCAGACAAAGCAGATACGGAAGATACATATATACACATATATATATATATATATATGCGTCATGTGGTAACAAATAAATTTACTAGTTTTATTCAACTTAAATAAGCTAGCTAGGTAACTGATAATACTAGAAATACTGATACTGCCAATTATATAATGTTAGATGGACAGAACAGTTACATGGATACTGCAGTTACAGTGGATATAACAGAAATATACATATCACATGCATTAAGAGGAGCTATAAAAAAGCACAAAATGTATTATAAGCTTACAAACACAAACATCCTTGACTGAGTGAACTGAATGAATATTTTCATATGGGGCTAATATCGAGCTAATTAGCAGTCATATTTTAATTTAATTTAAAATATATTTTGCTACATATATAATAACTATGTTATAACCAACAGTGTTCTAACTTTAAAAAGCTGTCAGGCTAATTAAAACTGAGTTCATTCAACTTCAAATTATATGTTTAATATTTTTGATGTAGTGCTGGGGGGATGGCGATTCTCTTATGTGAAACAGTGCTGACATCACGCATCAGACATATAACTGATAATCATTATTAACAATGAAATTGTAGCTGAACAGAAATTCCACTGCAATGATAATGCTAATTCCTGCTATCATCTCTGTACTCCACAGTAATCCGTGCCACGATGCTGTTTGCAAAGTTTATTTTTATTGTTTCATGAGAAATTCTGTAAGACCCCCAGTGTGGTATGGATTTTGGTTAATAAGCATAAGCATGTGATGTTTTATTCTGGACAAATCTTGTAGTTTGGAGGTTGTGATGGGTTGGAAGAGATGAGAAAAGACAAAAAATCTGTGAGATCTGTCACTATATATGAGGTCTTTCACACTTTCACACATTTTAGATATCAGGTAAGATTTAATAGTCAAGTCAATACAACTTAAAAATATAATTTCAATGGATTTTGGTACAATTATGTTCCCTGACTAAAGGTACTGAGATGTACCCTTGAGGGTCCCACCCCAGTGACAAGAGGGGTACTGCCCCAGTGACAGGATTATACCAATATTTCTGAGAATGTACAGAGCTCTGCACACACCCCCAGGAAAGAAAACAATAAATAATCTTGTTTGCTGTGTGCTGAATATTAGAAGTGAGCAGATATGCGAGTTACCCCCAGAGCTTTCGGCTCTCCTTTCAGGAAAGCGCTGATTCTTGTGAAGGTGGGAGCTCCTGCTAGAGCGGCTGCTCTGTGTTGTTCATTTCCAGCTATCTGTGCTGGGATCACATGGCTGACGACGGTGAAGCCGTTTTTCACATTCTCAGCTGGAACAACTATGGTGGACATTCTACAAACAAGAGAAACAATAACACTTCTGTACAAGCGGACATCATAATGCCCTGGCTCATTATTACTTCACTAGAGTGAGGGAAGTGTTTTCCAGAGTGCTATGTATTGTGATGTATTGTGAATTATACATCATAAACTTTTGTACCTCCATGTTTTCACATTTGCATGATTCACACATGACATCACTCACATGCATGTAATTCACTGGTTTACTGGTAGAAAAAACAAACAAAACAAAAAATTGAATGTTTTACCTGAATTGAAATTCTGAGATCTTCTTTGGTTCCTGTAGTGTGTAGAGCAGAGTGTGCTGTTCTTGCTGCTCTTGTTGGAACGTGCGTTCTCTCTTTCTCTCTCTCTCTCTCTCTCTCTCTCTCTCTCTCGTGTTCTTTACCTTCTTTGGAAACACCCTTTAGCAGCTTTATCAAATGTGTGCTCAAACAGTTGCCGTAAATGACGTGATTCACAATTTACACTTTCGCAAACATATGCAGGTCAGCATTAGATAAAGGCAGGTCTCTCTCTTTGTCTCACTCTCTCTCTCCTTTGTTCTCTCGTTATCTCATTTAAGCCCACTTATACTCTCTCTGGCCGCCTCTTTCAGCACCTCCTGAAAGTTTAGCTGTTGGTTTTAGTTGCTTTTTCTGATGCAGTGATTTGTGTTGTAACAATAGAAAAACATCCTCTAGAACAGCTATACAACTTTATATGTAGAGCTGTGTAGAACTGCCTGAAGACATACTATGGTGAAAGTATTACTATTACAGTGAAATCGTGACTCCAAAATATGCAAAAGTAGCTTAGCGAATACAGCTTTGAGTAAAAAAGTATCCGTACAAAAGTACAAAACTCCTGGAGAACTGAATTCTCATCCATCCATCTGGCATCTTTCAGGATAGTTTGTTAGACTCTATTCCTCCCTGTCCATGTTTAGTCTAAAATAAAAAGCTAAAGCTCCAAAGTGAGAGATAAACAGTAAAGCAGTTCAGGAACCCCCACCAAATAATGAATTAACTAAATTTAAACAGTTAAACTCTATAGAGAAAATAAAAAAAATGCAATAATTTGAGTGACTATGTAATACTTAATATTATAGGATACACTCACAAACACGCACATTCAAATTTTAAATAGAAAAAAAATAAGGGAAAAATGAGGCCATTTCTAAAGGAGTTAAAAAAGGGAAAATAATAATAATAATAATAATAATAATAATAATAATAATGACACAAAATGCCCTGACCTGTAAAGTCTGTTTGTGGTTGTATCTGCTGGTTTCTGCAGTGTGTTTTGCTGTTTGTGATGTTGACGCATTTGGTTGGTGAGCTATTAAAATTGTAGTTACTTATTTGCAGAAAACAGCCCCTCCATACAGACTCAGCTTCTGTAAGGGCTTTGTTCAGACCAGACCAGATCAGATCAGATCAGAGAGATGCAGACCTCCATAGCAAACTCTTTTTACCTGGTTAGGGTTGCCTTTTTAAACTTATCCACACGAGAAAAGCATCTCAGACAGCTTCGTCTCAAAGCTAACAGCACATTGTTGCAAGTCTTGTTTAGGTTTCTTAGTTTCCAGATTTTGTGAAAATGAAACAACTAACAATGTCTTTATAATGTTTTTTGGTGGCATTACATTCATTAATTTATTACATTTTTTGCAGTGTGGACCAGGAAGATCAGCAGAAAAGCCCATGACGAAAACATTGTTTTTATTTATTTTTTACCAGATTAATAAATTAATGAACTCTGATTATATTATTTTCTATTGGATGTTTAACCATTTTTTCACCCCACCAAAAAATAACAATGAAAACAGAGTATTAAAATACTAATAGTGTTTAAATACACCAAGCATGATTATATCAAACAATACTTAGAATGTATAAGTATGTATTTTACAGGAATCATCAGACCTAAAAGCCCCACTGCTGATTATCTTAATTCTAGTCAATCTATGTGATATGTTATTTTGAGATGGTTGTGCACTTGTTATAAGGTTATATATCCTATTTCTAGACATTTTATATCTGTTTTAAGTAATTTTATCAAAAAAAAAATGATCTCATTACATTGTCTGATAATTTTGCTGGTTTCAAGTAAATTTCTTAAAACAAGCAAAAAACATCTGCTAATCTAGTGAGATAAATGTACTTAATAAAATCACTGAAAACAAGTAAAAAATGTTTGGACATAAGTTAAATAATCTTGAGATAAGCTTATAACAATCTCAACAGCAGAAGTATTAGATTTATTGACTAGATTAAGATAATTTCACTTGCCAAGATACCTTTGTTTGCAGTGTAGATATGTGCTTCTTCTTCTAACACTTTACTGTACGGTGCTGTTCATAAGGCTACATGATACCTACATGAGGTTGTTATTACAACTGACATAACCCTACATAACTGTTCATAAATGCTTATTACAACAGGCATCATCAGTCATAAAGGATAGCTGACTTTGATCAAAATTGATCAAATGTAACCTTTCTAGCGGATGACGCTTATTGGAACAAGCATTTATAAACAGTTATGTAGGGTTATGTCCGTTGTCATGACAAGCTTATTTAAGTGTCATGTTGTATGTTGACACTGTGTTAGTGGTATTTTGAAAAAATGTGGTGGAGCTTCACATGTCTCAGAGGAACCTGTGCTAGACTTCACCCTCCCAGCTTGGTAGCATCGAGTGACAGGGGGAGACCTAGCTAGACACTAAATTGGGAAGACCCCCCATTGAAAAACAGTTCTTAAAATCAATTACACTCATAAAGGTCAATTGTTATTTGAACTCAAGTTTATTATGTCACACATTTACATTCATAGAAATAGAGTTAAAGTGAGCACACATATTTTTGGCTACCTCAGTTTGTGAAAGTGTGTGATGTTGACATGCTTTCAGTTTTTACAGTCAAACAACTGTTGCTTTTTTAATGTACTATAATAAGTAGTTTAAGGATTAATCTTTCATTACACAAAAAGGAAGACATCTTGATAGGTAAAAAGAGAATTTCTACATCTCAGTCTATGGAAAGGGAAGAGATACTAAAACTGTACAAATGTCCTCTGTCCTTTTATAATAACTGTATACAATTATAATAACAGTACAATAACAATACCAGTGCCATCAAGTTCATTTCAACTCCTGGTGACCATATGGATAGTGTTTCCCCACAATATCTCTTGTTCTGTTCGGGTTTTAGGTTTATTGGTTGTTTATTTATATTCTTAAAAGTGAATGTTCCTTATTGATTGCTGGTCTGGCTATACTTTATACATAGCACTTAAAAAAAATGTTCTTTATCTGTTTAAAAAATTCTTTAGAGAAACAAAAGTGGTTGCTCTCCAAAGAACCCCTTTTTGCAGCTTGATTCTGAAAAGTGTACTGCTATGATAGGGAATGTTTTAAACTGTGCTCATAATCCATAGAACATTCTTAAAACCATGTATATGCTGAAGACGTTGGTTGAGCTTTCTTAACAATCACTGATTGGCTCTACTTTTTACTTGTCTTACTATCATTACCGTTCACATACAGCGTTTTCTTCTGCTCTGTGCTTCCAGCAGGCTGTGCTGCCGGATGCTCCTCCACATCAGGGGTCTCATATATGTCCTGGGAGGAAAAGATGGTAAGGCATGATTTCATTTCCTCTTTACAAACTCATTTGAGATTTTTTTTACTTGAGTTCGATTTGATAAGACATCAGCAGCAGTACCTTTGGTTTTGAGAGAATTTTTTATTTCTTAAAATGAAAATGTAAAGTAAGACATTTGGGGTAAGATCCCTTCCAGACATGAGGCAAAAGACCCCTTTGTCCAGCCTCCTTCCTCAGTCCAGAGTAGCACAGGCCATGCTACAGTATTGTCATTTCCATTTTTGTCATTGTTTATTACAATGAAGTGCAATCATTAAGACATAAATTGATAGAATCCTTAATTTCATTTTATAAAATCATATTTTGTGCCGTATTTTGTGTTAATTAATAATGAAAAGCATAGACTGGAAATAATTTGACATACAAATTGTACATTTTGTAAGACTGAGATGAATATTTAGGTAACACTTTATTTGGAGTGGCCCTTTGTAGAATGTTAATAAACTTATTATTATCAGTAACACATCAACACATCACATCAACAACATATCAGTGAAGTAGCAGTAGTGAAGCATCTGAATACACTGAAGTAAATATCTTGTAGATGTTCTGTTGATACATTACTTACATGAAGTAGATGTGTTGTTAATATGTTATAATATCTTTCATTACACAAAACCTGACCTCACCCAACCTTACCCCACACCTAACCCTAACTCTGGCCCTAATCCTAACCTTATTCTTAACCTCAACCCAAAATCTAATCCTAACTCTCACCCTGGCCCTAATCCTAACCTTAACCTCAACCCAAAATTTAATCCTAACCCTCACCCTGGCCCTAATCCTAACCCTAACCTCAACCTCAACACAAAACCTAATCCTAACCTTCATTTGTTTTTGATATGTTACTGAGAGACTGTTGAGGGTTTGTTCTAAAAGAATCTAAAAGGACGACTCAAAATAAAGTGTCACCATAATTTGTTGCAATATTCACTAGGAGGGATGCTGATAGTGTAATTGTCTACTGTTCCAGTTTATGTCCTCTAACTATGTATAGGGTTACATATCACCATCCAGGTAAACTCACAGATACAGTTTAGATTTACAGTAAATGGGCGTTTTTCTTAAGCAGGGCATTTTGTCCGTGTTTTGTATCTCATCACTGTTTGAACAAAAACTATATCTCCAGAAAGGTAACTTTATGAGAGAGAAATTATATATTCCAAGTAATTTTGATCCATTTCTATTGGTCTATTCATCCTGACATTTTGACGCAATGTAAAGGGCATTCTACCATCTTAGGATGTTTTGTTTATTTCCCATCTTATTCCATCTAGTCATCATAATTCTAATACTACACTGTAAAAAGCGGCTCATCAGATCTACTTAAAAATCACTTCATGTGGTAACAAGCAACTGAACTAGTTTCAACTTAAAACACTACAATGATTGAAAGAATCATTGAGTATGTATTTAGGTTGAATAAAACTAGTTCAATCGCTTGTTACTACATGAAGTAATTTTTTAAGTAGATCTCCGGTGTATGAAGATTGGCCAGTAGGGGGAGCAGTGCACTCATGCCTTGTCCTTAAACTCCACCTATTGGCACGGCCATTGGCCGTTTTATTGGCTCCCTACAAAAACATCTGCTGGAATTGGGGTGTGCTTCATTTAATATGTAAATGAGGGGTTGGAGCTTGTTTTCACGCACAAAAGCCGATTCATCATTTGTGCTCAAATATCTTTTCATGAATTATATGCAGAGTAGTTCATTAAAGGTGACTTGTAGGCAACTTTGAGGAATAAAGGGCAATGACTGAATGTTACCTCTGAGTTGCTGAGAGCAGTGATGGGAATAGACACTGTGTTGAGATTTGAATCTTGAACATGGTTCTCCTGCAATGAAAATGTAAAAAGTGCAGAATTGAATGTGTCAGTGCAGAATATTCATCAAATGTAATGAAATTTGATTTGTTACTAACTATGGAGCTAAAAGTACATCATTATGTAACTACACAGCAAAACAGGAGTGTTTTATTATATTTATTTAATTGCACATTTAAAAAAGATGCAAGTGTTGCTTAGTAAAGGCAAATGTTCTTTTTAGAACCACAAGTTCTATATAGAACCATCCACATGCTTAAGCTTGACATTGTGTCAGTAGCAGAACCCTTTTTGGTGCTATATAGAACCATTTTCAAAAAGGTTCTGCACTGTAAAAAGTGGCTCATCAGATCTACCTAAAAAATTACTTCATGTGGTAACAAGTAAATTAACTAGTTTTATTCAACTCAATTTATTCAATTCAGTTTAAGTTGAATCAAACTAGTTTAATTGCTTGTTACCACGTGAAGTATTTTTTTTTTATGTAGATCTGATGAGCCACTTTTTACAGTGTGTAGAGAACCATATATAACACATTCTCTATCAGTCTGAAGAACCATTTTACCATGCAAAGAACCATTTAAGCATGCATCTTTTTAAAGATCGCACTTTTGAATAGCATAGCAAAGTAAAAATAATAACCTGTGATTTTTGTCCAGTGTACACATTTCACTTAATAGAAATTATTACATAGAAACTACAGACTACATTGTAACTATAAACAATGATATTTAATCAATGCCATTTTTTCAGTCCATGCAAACTCTGTGATGTGTGTGGAATTAGTGCATGTGCATCCCTGTAGTTACTCATATTGATTCCCACCGTTGGTGCAGCACTGTAGACAGCTTTGTAGGCAAACACAGAGACGATGATGGAGATGATCATCTGAAGCACCGAAAGCACCAGCAGTATTCCAGTGACTCCAAAAACATATACCTGAAAATGCATATATATATTCACTATGTCAATATATACAATCGCCAAGACACCCTTATTTTGTGATTTTGATCATTTGAAAATTCTAGCTGTGTTTTATATTGTTTGACAAAAAAGGGCAATGAGTGAATGTTGCCTCTGTTTTGCTGAGAGCAGTCATGGGAATCAACACTGTGCTGAAATTTGAAGCTTGGCCAGGCAACCCCTGCAATGGAAATGTAAAAAGTGCAGAATAGACTATAGAAGTGGTCTGAAAATGATTTCTGAAAAATATATATTTTTGGAGATTTTCTACTGCTACGTTCAAGCCTCATTACTCAAATCCGATTTTTTGCTCTCTGACATGATGGTTCACACTCTTTTAGATAAGTGATTCAAATCTGTCATTAATGTGAATGAACCAGCATCCTGAAATGATCCGCATGTGCACATCCTACTCAGTAACGTCACGTGAATGAATCATGTGCGCCACATTCATCATCAGCGAACAAACTAACCAACAGAACGAACCTTTCCTGCTAAGATAATTAACTCTGATCAGCTCTCAGCTGTTCATTCTTAGAGCGAGACGAAGGCGAAAAAGGTGAGATGTGTTGCTTTTCCACCGTTTACAGGCTTTAACTTCTGTTTGGCGCTGCTGCCATGGTAACGCTGAATGATGGTGCACATGCAGTGGAAAAAAAGCACATGAATTCCAATCTGAGCGTTCACATTAAGGTCGCATGGCCAAAAATCTGATACGTATCCACACAGCCCTGAAAACATCAGATCTCACACATCTGTCACATTAGGGCAAAAAATCGGATCTGTGCCACTTTAGCCTGGTAATATGAACGTAGCCTATTTACTGACATTACTGTGCAAGTCTTAGGCACAAAAACACATTATTTAAAACTATTTATTTGGGCATTAAGTGTGTTTTTGCTTGTAAAATCAGTATATACTATTAGAATAAATACAAATTATGATACATACAGTAAAAGGTAGTGATCAATTCTTAAAAAAAAAAAATAAATAAAAAAATAACCTTGGTGTGTAGCTTTGACCTAAGCATGCCAAAAATGTCATATTAAATGTCAGATTTCTCCTAGATGCCACCTGCTCTGTTCTATTTTAGCAGCAGCACCTGATTTAGCCCTCTGTGGTCTGAGGGAATTTTCTTGATTTGTACATGTCAAATTCATCTTTAAAGGCTCTTCATATAACATGATACTCATATGTTTCATATCAAAATGCTCCATTATCTTCATCACTACTTTCCACACCATCTTACATCTGCCTCAATGAAGAATGAAGGGTTTCCAGCGTGATGGTCTGTTCTTAGTGATTTCCTGATTGTCCGTTGGTCAGTTTTACACAAAATGTAGATGGACGCACAAGTCCACCAGTTCCGCATGGTGAGAGGCAGATGACATGTATATCAGCCCCTCTTCATAGCCTCATAACTTTGGATGTGAGTCATGTGAGTCTTGTGATTAGATGGAATGGAAAAGGCGACTCAACAGGTTCAGGAAATGTTTGAACTGTGTTTCTGTGCCGTATTATTACAAAGATACAGAACCACAGATAGAAACATCCAATTTGATGTGTGGGCAAGTTCTGTTGACTAAATAAACCAGTTGCTGGTTGAAAGATGCAAATAATACTGGGCTTCCTCAAGAAGAGGTTTGGAAATGATTACATGAACACAGTGACACATTAAAACACTGCTTATTGGATTAATGTTATTTGGATTCATTGTAATCTTCGTGTTTTTTGGAAAAAATTCAAAGGAAACTTACACTTAATCGCTTACTGCTCAGACAAATAGAGTTTTAAATCTAAGTGTAAGGTGCATAAAGCATTTGCACAGTACTGTATAGGTGACAAATGTGATAAAATTAATAATAATAATAATAATAATAATAATAATAATAATAATAATAAATACATAAGGCCAATATCCATTTGGTTGTTGAAACAGAAGACACAGCAGCAGGATAATGCAGATCCCAGCAGTTACAGCACTGATCACATTCATCACAAGGATGGTTTTGACCTGAGAAAGAAAGAAAATAGGATTCTGCAGTGTTACCATAAATGCAGTCATATGCAAAAGTTTGGACACGATCAAATGACGTTTGGTTGATGTTCTACGTGAAAATAAGTTAACACATCCTCTACAGAGAACACACTTAAATATGCTAGTTGTTCTGGTCAGGTTATCTTGGTAGTGGTATTCATCCAAAAATTTCCAATTGTTTCAAATGAAGGTTTATGCAAACAAAGACACTTAAAAGAACAAGTAACAGTGACGTACCCCACATCCACTGAGTCGCTTTTCTTGTACAAAACCAAGGCAACCTACAATGATGTGCTGTGGAAGAGAGAAGTAGTTATATCTTCATGTAAACATGAAAAGGCTAAGAAATCATCAAATAATTTCAGCAAAATACTTACAGTTATAGGCCCCCACAGCATGAAAAGGCTCCTCTGACAGTTGTCATGAACTTCATAGGGATAGTAAGGGGCCCAGTTTAACATTATGGTTAACACAAAGCCAAGGAGAAGCGCCAGACATCCAATTACTATTTGTGCTTTCTATTAAAGAAAAACACAAAACAGTGAAGTTTAGTCATGAAAATAGTGAACAAACAAAAAAAATCTGTAAAACTACAGTAAAAAGTCCAGCAGTGCAGATGGCTGGTAATTAACAGTAAAAATATGTTTCCCAGTGTTGGTAAAAATCTGTAAAATCATTACTTTTATTAGAAATGCTGCCTTTTACTTTTATTTCAACAGCTTTACTATTTATCAACTAGTTCAACTAGAAATTCTGATGCACTGTATTTTGCCATAATAATAACAGTAACAACATTTCAAATAACACTAATGTCTGTGGAATAAAGGTGATCATTTGGCTTTGTGAATAAATACAGTATATATACAGTTTATTTACATGCATTTAACCTTTTTTTTTAATCTAAACAGGTTTTGTCTATTAAATTGTTCAGTACCTGCAGTACTTGCCTAGTATTTGTATGTTGTGGAGTGTATATATATATATATATATATATATATATATATATATATATATATATATATATATACACACATATGTACATAACATTTCTACCCCTTATGGTAGACAATGAATTCTTAATTTTAATATGCATTGCAACCATTTAAAGGATAGTGTAAAATTAGACTTTGATATGACAGCAACGATGTATTTATATAAAAAATGTCTATTTTTCCTCACAAAGGTAGCAAAACAAACACACAGTTCACATAGTAAATCTTACCCCAAGTGCTTTTGGTTGACCTCTGAAAAATGTCTCAAAACTGGTCAGCGGTTGAGATGTCATAGCAGGGCCATATGTGCCTGGAACTGTTTGTTGGAGGGGAACCTGGGTAGTAATTGTGAGGCCATTACGGTGAAGCACAGCGGTGGACATCCTTCAGAGGAGCTCTAATAGAAAGAAGTTATTCTGAAGGCAGTCTGTGAAGTACAAGTGTTAACAAAAGCAACACACTGACTTGAGTATTTTTAAATACATTAACACATGAATAAATGAAATAAAAAAAATGAAATTTTTGGAAATTACAAGATTTCAAGTATCACTATGGGAAACACTGTCATTTTCCATATTATTTTTACAGTACTTTGCATTTTACATTATACATAATCTGAACACCTCGTTATAAAACTCATCTGGATTTTTTAATTTAAAAGCTTTTGTTTTTTTAGCAACAAATATATATTACAACAGACAACAAGTTATGACAAGACAAGCCACGATAAAACAAACAAACAAAAAAAACCCAACAACAGACATAAGGCAAACAAATAAGTTGAGACAAGCCAAACAAAAAGGGGTATAATAATAATAATAATAATAATAATAATAATAATAATATTAATAATAATAATAGCAATAATAATAATAATAATAATGACAGACAGGCAGTATATGGAGTAAATAAAGTGTTAAACATATGTATACACTTATACACATACACCCATTCAACATCTTTGTACATAAAATACAATAGTTTATTACATCAGTAATAAGTAGGCGATATTGCTTTGCTGTGCAGAAGAAAGGGAGAGCCAGGGCGCCCCCAAGGGCCCCCCCACCAACCATTTTCTGCCCCCTCTGCCTGAGTGTTATCACCTATATACTACTAGCATTAGTACTGTGTACTTCAGCTTACAGTTAAAATAAAATATTTAAAATTATTTTTAGAGCCATTAAACACACACACATACTCACAGCCTCAACATTTTACAAACATATTTCTGCACATCTGCAAATCTGTAAGTAAGAGCAGAAGAAATAAACAAAAAGCTCTGACAGCCAAATATAGAAAAAAATAATACCTGAAGGGAGAGTCTTCAGTTAGTCTGTCCTCTGGAAGTTAATCTGCGTATGCTAGATGTTAGTGCAGTGATAGTGATGTTAAACTGTATTAATATACACACATTCTGCCCTCGGGTCAGTTAGTTAATGAAAAAAAGGTGATTACTCATTTGCAGAACTGACTATAGTCAAAGGCGGGAAAGTACCTTTTCCAGCCGCTAAATGGTAATGTATTTTTTTTATTTACAACAAGCCAGCCTGCCATTTATATAATGTCTGTTCAGAACCAAATGTTTGAAGAATTTAATGCTTCTAAAAGCTCCCTCGCTAGCTGGGTGCCTGAGACACTGTCCATGATAACTTTGAGATCCAGATGTGGCCTAAAATGTTTATTTTTAAATCTATTTCTGGTGGAGAGGTTCAAATGTTAAGAAGAGTCATTTTGTCCTTTCAACAAAAAACAAACCACCTTGAGAGCCACAACATTTTATGTCCATTTTACCATCTTGGCTGTAAATATGTCTCAGTATGTGCTAATGTGCTAGTGTAGGCTAAAAAATAGAGTATATTTGAAAATGCAGACTTACTTTTCTTTGCTTTAAACTTTAGCTCAGCTGATTTTCTCGTATCTCCAGCAGGAAACTTTTCCACAAATGGAGGGCTTTCTTGTAAAATCTGTCTGACCGTTCGACTTTTTACCAGGCTGAAGTCAGCTTCTCATTCGAATCACCCGTTCCACCTTAAATGAACATAACTGCTGCTCCATTTAAGGTGAAATGGGAAAGTTTGAACAAGACACTAATTTCAGCTTCAGCCTTTTGGTGTTTCACGGTTTCTGGTTGCAGATTAAACATATCAGGAAATCAGCTAAATGCTTCATCGCCAAATTATTGCTGTTTGTCTTGAAACGTTCTCTTTGAAAAATGAAAAAGTGATGTACAAATAAATGTATGCATCATTAATTTAGTGTTCATGGGTAGTGGACACACAACCTGAAAAAAAAGAAACTTTCATTAAATATAAACCCGCGCTAACAGAACATGGAAAACACTCTCAAACATCTACATTTCCCTGTTCCTGGTGTACAGTCCACAGTTTTTTCTTAACGGCCACATACACAAGCCAGGGGCATCTGGTGCTGTCTGACAAAGGGGAAGCACAGGTGGTGATAATGTAATGGCAAAATAATCGAATACTTATAAAAGGCCATTAAAAAGTTTGGACAACATATTAAGTCCACATAATTTTAAATTCAGCAATATTTTAAAAAATGTAGACTTAAAAATGACCAACTTCACACCAAAAGGCATTACTAGATGTTTTATTCAATATTTTAAGCATTTTTGGTGAAAAAATATATAATATGATAAACAATGTAATGTAAATGCAGGCATTTTTGATATTCGTTTATTATAACCTCCTTATAGATATTTCTCAGATTTATCATTCTACAGTTCTGTTAATCATTCTGGACCAAGGTAGTGTTAGGCAAGTCTAACACTGGCTTTCTTGGGTTTTTTGTTGGCCTTTTTCAGATTCTCACTTTCCTGCTCATGTAAGACCTGTAAATTCTTACAAAACCAGCAAGTTTATTCAATCAAGATAAGAAAATTTAGGTACCACTTTTGGATGGTTTTGAATAGTAAGCAAAATGGCTATATTTGTGTTGCAGCCATGGCACCCCTGGTTCCTATCACCACCACTGTAAAGAAATCTGTGAAGTTTGGAAAAATCTTCCAAAAAAAGGTTTGGAAGTTTGGGGTTGTGAAGTGTGCGATGATTTAGGCATGATGCTAATTGGTGGGCTATAAGCTTTTGGAAAATTGTTGAAATTCTCCAGTTGATAACAGGAGGCAGCTGTTACCAGCATACAGTTGAACAGAAATTAAATATCAAATGAATCACTGTTTGGAACAATTTATTTGAGTAATTTAGAGGCTTTGGTGTGACTTTTATCTGATTTTGAATAAAAACAATGAATGCTAAAACAGCAAAGTAAATGAAAAGCCAGAGACACCTTAGGCTATTTGCTGCAGTCATAATTTTTATGAAATCTGTGATGAAAATAAGACATAAATTAAACAATATGATTCCTGTACTGTTGACAGGCATGGAAAAATAGGCCTCCATGTCCGAAAACTCAATTTATCCCGTGTACAAAAATTAAGTTAGTTTACAAACTGCTAACCATCATTTGTATTATCTACATAAATATCAATATCAGATTGGAATCAGTATTGACAAATACTCAATATTAAAAAACACTCATGCTGGGCGGTTTGGGGGTCTTGAGTCTTTGGGTAGAGGTGGTGGGGATAAGCCAACAGGGGTCCAACCATATCTTTGTGCATGCCTGCCAACAGTGATCAGCACTGATTATAATATCATATATTTTTTTTATGATTTTGCCCAGCCTCTGCCTTGTAATGGGCTGGTGACCTGTCCAGGGTGTTTCCTGCCTTCTGCCCAATGGCTGCTGGGATGGGCTTCAGCATCCCCTTTGAACCAGAAGGATAGATGGCTTAAATAATGTGTGTGTAATGCCCACCCCCACTTTATTGAATATCTACTTACTTATAATGTCCTTTTTTAATTTAGCGCAGGAATGTGTTTGCATTTTTAGTTTCTGTCCTGCCATCTGGTGCATACTGACAGTGAGCATGGGGATGTTTTGACCTTTAACCTCAGTTAGACAAACCGATACTTCCTTTTTGAGGAGCTCAGGGACTCAGGAGCACATTTCAGTTCACCGGCTAATCCCGAACGCTCCTCATGGGGAAACAGATCAGCGGTGGCTTAAAACGCTATTCATTTCTCCGAGATAAATTATTAAAGCTGGAAAATGGAGACCTGGGGAGACGCACAGCTTCAGTCAATAATCACTCCCATGGTAATACACTCTCTCTCACACACACACACACCCCTCCATCAGAGAGAAATGATCTATCTGTAAGCTCCGTCACACAGGCAACCTTCTGGGACCCATTATTCCAGTTCTTAGAAGCTCTACAGAGACATCTGGATGTGGTGCATTCTCAGAACAGCACTAACTGGGTCATTTTTTAACACATCTGTGAGTCCAGTTAAGGAAAAGCAATATTTGTGTTTCTTTTCACACAGCTTATGTTTTATCTTCTTTACAATCATTGAGAGCACAGAAAACTATTAAATGACCCATGTCCTACATTTTACTTGCATTTTATATTTTTATATGACATTTGCTTGGTTTTATATACGAAAATCAGCCATAATTCATTTTTACATGACCATTTTCGGTCCTCTTTTTATCTCTCAGAATTAAGCAGACTATTTTGGTTAGTGTGTCTTTGTGACTGAAATGTGTAAACAGCCTCTCTTCTAATTGGCTGCTCTGTTTTGAAACATTCCTTACAACTTCAGCATGAGTGCGTGGAGCTAAGCTGACTTGTGCTGTTAATGTGTTCGTTTTTCATGACATCACAAACATACTGATTTCAAAATGAGATCTTTTTGAAGATTAGTTTCCATATGTGGACTGCATGGACTGGGAAGTGTAAATCTCTGAAACTTTAACAATATTTAAATATAACAATAAATTATTATTTAATTTTGAAAGTGATTATTATTTTATTTTATATATATATATATATATATATATATATATATATATATAATAAAATAATAATATATTATAATTATAATATATAATATAATTATAATATTATAATAATATATTATATAATATATAAGTATATTAAAATTACTTTAATAACACGTTTCGTGTGTGTGTGTCATGCATTCAGCTCCCTCTATGGAGGAAACGGACATCATCTCCCAGAATTCTCTGGGAGATCATGTGACTGAGAAGCCGCACTCGGAATCCGACTCGGATGTGAACTCCATTTCCCAGGATACTATGGAGTCTCATGTGACTTCAGACTCTCACAGGCGCTCCTATCAGCGCTCACAATCCCCTGAGTTTTGACTGCTTGCACCTGTGTTGATGATCTTACGTTAGACCAACTTATCACTCTGGCTATTAAGCTCGACCACCTCTTGAACTCCAGAAAGAGAAATAAGAGCTTAAGACCCTCACAAAACACACAGCCCCATGTAAGGATCACAAGAGAAAATCCTGACCTCCCAGAACCCATGCAGTGTGATTCCTCGCGCATATCACAAGAGGAGAGACGGCGCCGGATCACCAATCATCTTTGTCTCTATTGTGGTCAAGCAGGACATCAAGTTCGAGACTGCCGCTCCAGACCACAGCAAAGCAAGGCACCAACCCCTGGACAGCACGTGGAGTTCACTCCACGTGCTAATGTGGTGAGTGTTCCCACAAAGGGGTTGGTTTCTAAATCAGTGATTTTACCAGTTCAGATATGCTTTCATCCAAACTCTCTTGTTGTTTCAGCGTTGATCGACTCGGGGGCTGAAGGGAACTTCCTCCACGCTAGGATCGTGGAACAGCTGCAGATTCCTGTCAAGAATCTTCAAACAGCTCTCAAAGTCACCGCTTTAGATGGAGACCCAGTGGGACTGAGACCCATTACCCAAGTAACGGTGCCTTTGGAGACCAAGGCCAGTGCCCTACACTCTGAGAAACTTTCATTTCTTGTTCTGGAACAATCAGACTTTGAAATGATATTAGGGCTCCCATGGTTGGAGAAACACGATCCTACGATTTCTTGGACTGAACATACTGTTACTCACTGGTCTGAATATTGTCTTCAGAACTGCATTCACACCCCTGCCATTTGCCTTAGGTCTACCACCATAGAGAGCCCCAACTCTGATTCCCCTTTTGAAATACCCCATGAATACATAGACTTAAAGGAGGTCTTTAACAAACAAAATGCGACAAAATTGCCTCCTCATAGGCCCTATGATTGTGCCATAGAACTCATAGAGGACCCAGTACTACCTAAAGCAAGAGTATATCCCTTGACACAAGAAGAACAAAAAGCACTTGATGTGTATATTGAAGAAGCCTTAGAACAAGGGTTTATCCGGCCCTCCACCTCTCCTATCGCCTCTAGCTTTTTCTTCATTAAGAAGAAGGACGGTGGGTTACGTCCATGCATAGATTACAGAGCCCTTAA